GAAACAGAAACTAAGCCGAGACACTTTGACATTAACAGAAGTTATGAACCAAATGGACTTAACAGACATCTATAGAACATTTCATCTTAAAACAAAAGAATATACCTTTTTCTCAGCACCTCATGGCACCTTCTCCAAAATAGACCATATAATTGGTCACAAAACAGGCTTCTACAGATAAAAAAAGATTGAAATAATCCCTTGCATCTTATCAGATCACCACGGACTAAGACTGACCTTTAATAACGACAAAACCAATGGAAAACCCACATGCACATGGAAACTGGACAATTCTCTACTCAATGAAGTCAAGGAAGAAATAAAGAAAGAAATTAAAGACTTTTTAGAATTCAATGATAATGAGGACACATCATACCAAAACTTGTGGGACTCCATGAAGGCAGTGCTAAGAGGAAAACTCAGCTCTAAGTGCCTACAAAAAGAAACTGGAGAGAGCACACACTAACAATTTGACTGCACAACTAAAAGCTCTGGAACAAAAAGAAGCAAATACACCCAGGAGGAGTAGAATGCAGGAAATAATCAAACTCAAGTCTGAAATCAACCAAATAGAAAAAGAAAGAACAATACAAAATATCAATAAATCCAGGAGCTGGTTCTTTGAGAAAATCAACAAGATAGATAAACCGTTAGCCAGATTAACCAGAGGGCACAGAGACAGTATCCAAATTAATAAAATCAGAACCGAAAAGGGAGACATAACAGCAGAAACTTAAAAAATTGAAAAATCATCAGATCCTAATACAAAGGCCTATACTCAACAAAACTGGAAAACCTGGATGAAATGGACAACTTCCTAGACAGATACCAGGTACCAAAGTTAAACCAGGAGCAGATAAACCATCTAAATAGTCCCGTAACCCCTAAGGAAATAGCAGCAGTCATTAAAAGTCTCAGCACTAAAAAAAGCCCAGGACCAGATGGTTTTAGTGCTCAATTTTATCAGACCTTCAAGGAAGACCTAATACCAATTCTCTTCAAACTATTCCACAAAATAGAAAGAGAAGGAAAACTACCCAATTCGTTCTATGAAGCTACAATTACACTCATACCCAAACCCCACAAAGACACGGCAAAGAAAGAGAACTTCAGACCAATTTCCCTTATGAACATCGATGCAAAAATACTCAATAAAATTCTAGCAAACCGAATCCAAGAACACATCAAAACAATCATCCATCATGATCAAGTAGGTTTTATCCCAGGAATGCAGGGATGGTTCAATATTCGGAAATCCATCAATGTAATCCACTATATAAACAAACTTAAAGAAAAAAACCACATGATCATCTCACTAGATGCTGAGAAAGCATTTGACAAAATTCAACATCCCTTCATGATAAAAGGCTTGGAAAGATCAGAAATTAAAGGCCCCTACCTAAACATAGTAAAAGCAATTTACAGTAAACCAGTAGCCAACATCAAACTAAATGGAGAGAAACTTGAAGCAATCCCACTAAGATCAGGGACTAGACAAGGCTGCCCCCTCTCCCCCTACCTATTCAATATAGTACTGGAAGTCCTAGCCAAAGCAATTAGACAACAAAAAGAAGTCAAAGGGATACAAATAGGAAAGGAAGATGTCAAAATATCACAATTTGCAGATGATATCATAGTATACTTAAGTGACCCCAAAACTTCCACCAGAGAACTCCTAAATCTGATAAAAAACTTCAGCAAAGTGGCTGGTTATAAAATCAACTCAAACAAATCAGTAGCCTTCCTCTACATGAAAGATAAACAGAGTGAGAAAAAAATTAGGGAAATGACACCCTTCACAATAGTTGCAAATACTATAAAATACCTTGGTGTGAATCAAACCAAGCAAGTGAAAGACCTGTATGACAAGAACTTCAAGTACCTGAAGAAAGAAATCGAAGAAGATCTCAGAAGATGGAAAGATCTCCCATGCTCATGGATTGGCAGGATTAAGATAATACAAATGGCCATCTTCACAAAAGCAATCTACAGATTCAATGCAATTCCCATTAAATTCCCAACTCAACTCTTCACAGAGTTAGAAAAGGAAATTCTCAAATTCATATGGAATAACACAAAACCCAGGATAGTGAAAACTATTCTCAACAATAAAAGAACTTCTGGAGGAATCACCATTCCTGACCTCAAGCTGTACTACAGAGCAATAGTGATAAAAACTACTTGGTATTGGTACAGAGACAGGCAGGAAGATCAATGGAATAGACTTGAAGACCCAGAAATGAACCCACACATCTATGGTCACTTGATCTTTGACAAAGGAGCTAAAACTGTCCAGTGGAAAAAAAATAGCATTTTCAACAAATGGTGCTGGTTCAACTGGAAGACAACATGTAGAAGAATGAAAATTGATCCATTCTTCTCTCCTTGTACAAAGCTCAAGTGTAAGTGGATAAAGGACCTTTACATAAAACCAGATACACTGAAACTAATAGAAGAGAAGGTGGGGAAGAGCCTCGAATACTTGGGCACAGGGGAAAACTTCTTGAACAGAACACCAATGGCATATGCTCTAAGATCAAGAATTGACAAATGGGACTTCATTAAATTGCAAAGTTTCTGTAAGGCAAAGGACACTGTCAATAGGACAAAATGAAAACCAACAATTTGGGAAAAGATCTTTACCAATCCTACATCTGATAGAGGGTTAATATCCAATATATACAAAGAACTCAAGAAATTAGACTTCAGTCAACCAAATAACCCTATTAAAAAATGGGGTATAGAGCTTAACAAAGAATTTTCAACGGAAGAAACTCGAATGGCCAAGAAGCACCTAAAGAAATGTTCAGTATCCTTAGTCGTCAGGGAAATGCAAATCAAAACAACCCTGAGATTCCATCTCACACCAGTCAGAATGGCTAAGATTAAAAACTCAGGTGATAGTAGATGCTGGGAGGGTGTGGAGAAAGAGGAACATTCCTCCATTGTTGGGGGGACTGCAAGATGGTGCAACCACTTTGGAAATCATTCTGGTGGTTCCTCAGAAAATTGGACATAGTATTACCTGAGGATCCAGCTATACCCCTCCTGGGCATATACCCAGAAGATGCTCTAACATATAACAAGGACATATGCTCCACTATGTTCATAGCAGCCTTATTTATAATATCCAGGAGTTGGAAAGAACCCAGATGTCCTTCAACTGAGGAATGAATTAAAAAAATGTGGTACAATTATACAATGGAGTATTACTCAGTTATTAAAAACAATGAATTCGAGAGTTTCCCAGGTAAGTGAATGGAACTAGAAATTATCATCCTGAGTGAAGTAAGCCAATCACAAAGAACACACTTGGTATTCACTCACTGATTATTGGATATTAGCCCAGAAACTTGAGATATCCAAGATTCAACTCACAGGCCACATGAAGCTTATGAAGAAGGAAGACCAAGTGAGGGTGTTTCGGTCCTTCTTAGAAGAAGCAACAAAATACTCAAGGGACCAAATATGGAGACAACGTGAGGGACAGAAACTGAAGGAGGGGCCATTTGAAGACCATTCCACCTGAATATCCATCCCATGTGCAGTCACCAAAGGTAGATGCTGATGTGGAAGTCAGGAATTGCATGCTGATAAGAGCATGATATTGATGTCTCCTCAGAGGCCTTCAAGCGGCTGACATATTCAGAGGGAGATTCTCACAGCTATCCATTTAACTGATAATGGGTTTCTCAATGGAGGAGTTAGAGTGAAGACTGAAGGATCTCAAGGTTTGCGGCATCATGAAGAGAGCAACAATCGCAACCAACCACAGCTCCCGGGGTCTAAACCACCAGCCTCGGAGCACTTAGGGAGTGATCCAGGGCTTCAGCTGAATATGTAAGACTGGAGGGCCCTGCTGGGCATAGGTGGAAGATGAGATCCTTGGCCTCATGAAGGCTGGACGCACCATGAGGTGGGAATTTTGAGGGTGGGGAAGTGGTAGTTGGGAGGTAGGTAGGAGTTACATCCACAGAGAAGAAGGAGGAGGGGTAAGGGGATAGGGAGTTCCTGGGTGGGTGTGGTATGGGGTAAGGGGCCAACATATGAAATGTAAATAAAACATCCAATAAAAAAATTAAAAAAAATAACAAGTTCCTCCTAGGACAGAGTGACCATGAATATAGGAACAAGCAAGGACAGATCTTGACAAGTCTAAACATGCCCAAATGAGAAATGGGCCTTCTAGTGTTTTTCTTCCCCTATCAGAGGGTCTGAGGTTTCATGGCCAAAAATACGAGTCATCATGACCACCAAGAAAAGCTTGCTATGGCCACCAAAATGATAACTTACACCTATTGCTGATGTTTAAAATATCCAATCATATGTAACCGTGCCAAATTTTCCCGCTCTCCCCTTCCCCCTGAGCTGCTTCCTATATAAACTTCAAACTGTCAGAGCTCAGGGTCGAAATCCTTCCCTTGCTTGGGATGCGTTTTCGACTGGAGGCCCCCTCGCCAGTAAACTACTTTTTGCTATTTTGCATCAAGCCAGTCTCCGTGTTTCCTTGGGTGCACACAACTCCGGGTGAGAATAGGGTCTCCCCCTCGGGGGTCCCTTACATTTGGTTCCCTGACCGGGAAGTGCTTGACCACCCAGGACTCCCGAAGACCCCTTGGAGGTAGATTTGTGTTAATGGTGTGTGTCTGAGTGCAGCGCTGCTGTCTTTGCTGTTTCTGTATTTTGGTTTCAGTCTCTGAGCAGCTGCCACTATAGACCATGAGGTCTTAGTTGGTTGTGAGGGGCAGACGTGCCTGGAACCACAGGCTGGGGCCCTGGGGTTTGCAAGGGTGGAAGGGAGTCTGGGAAGCCAGACTGCCCTGTTTTGGAACGAAGGAGACGGAGTGCTCCTGCTCTTGGGGAAGAAATGGAATCCTTCCCCATCTGAATTTGCGTTCAGTTGGTTTTATAAAACTCGAAGTGGATGAGTGTGCCTGACTGTGTTAGTCTTGTGTGTTTGTATTTGTGTTGTGAATCTGTTAAGTTTTGAGAGTTCTGAGATGGGACAGACCGTTACGACTCCATTATCTTTGACTCTTGACCATTGGACGGACGTTAGAGGTAGAGGACAGGATTTGTCAGTGATCATTAAGAAGGGACGCTGGCAGACATTCTGCTCTGCAGAGTGGCCCACTTTTGATGTAGGATGGCCTCAGGAAGGAACATTTAACTTGACAACTATCCAAGCTGTTAAGGTGATTGTGTTTCAGGAGGGACCTGGATCTCATCCAGACCAACAGCCCTATATCACAGTGTGGGTGACTTGGTTCGTTATCCGCTTCCATGGATGAAACCGTGGGTTGCTCATTGGCCAAGTTCCCTGGTTTTATCTGTCAGAGGAAAAGCGGTGGAGAAGAAAGAGAAACCACAGATGGACAAAGAGGTCAGTGCTCTGCTGAAACCTCCACTCCCTCCTAAAATATACCCTGAAATAGAGGAGCCCCCTGAGTGGCCGCTCCCCCCTGCCGACTGGCTGGACCCCATACTCCCTCCTTACCCTCCTCAACTCCAGGCTATGCCTGAACCCTCTGCACCCCCAGTTCCTGCCCCAGTAGAGATGGCTGCCAGTGGGCCCTCAGCAGGGACAAGGAGGAGGAGGGGGGCTATTTCAGTCTCAGAAGACTCTGACTCTACAGTGGCTTTGCCCCTCAGGGCCGCTGGACCTCCCCCGACCAGCCCTAACCAGTTACAGTTATTACAGTACTGGCCTTTCTCTTCTTCTGATATTTACAATTGGAAAAATAACCATCCTAGTTTTTCCGATAACCCTACACCTCTGACAGGGCTGATGGAATCCCTGATGTTTACACATCAGCCCACCTGGGATGATTGTAATCTGCTCTTACGAGAGCTTTTTACAACTGAAGAGAAGGAGAGGATCCTTATGGAAGCCCGGAAAAACATCCAGAACGTGGCTGGTCAGCTTTTGCAGAACTTAACCCAAGCAGAAATTGATGAAGCCATCCCCCCAACTCGACCTCAGTGGGACCATAACACAGCTGCAGGTAGGGAAAGGCTGACCATTTACTGCTGGGCTCTAGTGGCAGGTTTCAGAGGGGCAGCGAGATGCCCCACCAATTTGGCTAAGATAAGAGAGGTCGAGCAGGGACCAACAGAGGCCCCAGCTGTCTTTTTAGAACATCTCATGGAAGCATATCACAGATATACTCCTTTTGATCCTATGACAGAGGGGCAGAGAGGTAACGTTATAATGGCTTTTGTTGGGCAGTCTGCTCCAGATATTAGAAGGAAGTTACAGCACCTGGATGGAATACATGATATGACAATTAGAGATGTGGTTAAAGAGGCAGAGAATGTTTATCATAAGAGAGAGATGGAGGAAGAGAAGAGAGAGAGAGGGAGAAGAAAGAAAGAAGAGAAGACGTAGATAGAAGGGAACAGAGACAGGAAAGGAATCTGACACGAATACTGGCCGCAGTGGTAGGAGAAGAGAAAAAGACTAAAGTTAGACAGTTAGGGGACCTGGGAGACAGATTGAAGCTAGGCCCAAGGAGACCCATGGAAATAGATCGAACTACAATAAGAAAGGACCAATGTGCCTATTGCAAAGGAAAAGGCCACTGGGCTCGAGAATGCCCTAAGAAAATCAAGACGAGAGTACTGTCCTTGGGAGATGATGAAGACTAGAGGGGACGGGACTCTGTCCCCCTCCCCGAGCCTAGGGTAACTTTGAAAGTGGAGGGGACCTCCATGACTTTTCTAGTTGATACCGGAACAGAATACTCAGTATTAAAAAGACCTTTGGGAAAAATAAAAGACAAACAAACTCTGGTAATTGGGCACTGGACAAAAACAGTATCTCTGGACCACCTCCCAGAAGGTGGACCTTGGCAAGAACCAAGTGTCTCACTCATTCTTAGTAATTCCTGAGTGCCCTACTCCCCTGCTGGGCAGAGACTTGTTAACAAAATTAAAAGCTCAAATCACCTTTACCCCCTCAGGTCCAGAATTGTCCTGGGGGGGAGGAGAGAAACCTCAAACCTTAATAATGTCCCTGCATCTAGGGGAGGTGTACCAGCTATTCCAAAAAACAATAGAGCCCCCCAGAGGGCTACTGGACCAGTTGGATCGATTTCCCCAATCTTGGGCTGAGACAGGAGGGATGGGGATGGCAAAGCAAGCCCCCCCTATAGTCATAGAACTCAAATCTGGAGCTACACCTATTGGGGTTCGACAGTACCCCATGAACAAAGAGGCAAGAGAAGGCATAAGGCCACACATTGAGAGACTGATACAACAGGGAATTCTAGTCCCCTGCACGTCCCCATGGAACACTCCTCTTCTACCAGTAAAGAAACTAGGGACTAATGATTATTGCCCTGTCCAAGACCTTAGAGAAGTCAATAAAAGAGTACAAGATATCCACCCTACAGTGCCAAATCCCTATAATTTGCTCAGTACACTACCACCTGAACGTACTTGGTATACTGTTCTAGATTTAAAAGATGCTTTTTTCTGCCTGAGATTACATCCTGTTAGCCAGCCTCTGTTTGCTTTCGAATGGCGGGACCTAGAGAGCGGGACAGTTGGACAGCTTACATGGACAAGACTGCCTCAGAGGTTCAAGAACTCTCCCACCCTGTTTGATGAGGCATTACACCGAGACCTTACACAGAATCTCCCGGTGACTCTCCTACAATATGTAGATGATCTCTTCATAGGCTGCAGAAACCTATGAAGAATGTGAACAAGGAACCCAAAAGATCCTGGTTGAGCTAGGTGAATTGGGATATCGGGCTTCTGCCAAGAAAGCACAATTGTGCCAGACAGAAGTGACTTATTTGGGATACTTTTTGAGAGATGGACAGAGATGGCTGACTGATGCCAGAAAGCAGACTGTGATGCAGATCCCGACTCCAACCACCCCTTACCAGGTAAGAGAATTCCTGGGAACAACAGGGTTCTGTAGACTGTGGATACTGGGGTTTGCTACCTTGGCAGCCCCGTTGTACCCTCTCACTAAGGAAAAAAGGAGAGTTTGATTGGACTGAGGACCATCAGAAGGCCTTTGACAGCCTGAAAAGGGCCTTATTACAAGTGCCTGCCCTAACATTGCCTGATTTGACTAAGCCATTTACTTTATACATTGATGAGCAGAAGGGGATTGCTAGAGGAGTCCTGACTCAGACTCTAGGGCCATGGAAATGCCCAGTGGCCTACCTATCTAAAAAGTTAGACCCAGTGGCCAGTGGATGGCCCTCTTGCCTGCGAGAGATAGCAGCAATGGCTGTGCTGGTGAAAGACGCTGATAAGTTGACTATGGGCCAAAATGTGACTGTGGTGGCCCCTCTCACCTTAGAGAGCATTATCAGACAGCTGCCAGACTGCTGGATGACCAACGCCCAGATGACACACTACCAGAGTCTGTTGTTGACTGAGTGAATAACTTTTGCCCCACCCGCTATCCTTAACCCTGCTACCTTGCTGCCTGATACTGATGAAACCCCCATACAGCGGTGTGAAGAGATACTGGCTGGAGAGGTGGGAATCCGACCCGACCTGACTGACCAACCATGGCCGGGTGCACCGGCATGGTTCACTGATGAAAGCAGCTTCATAGTAGAAGGTAAGCGCTGGGCTGGGGCAGTGGTAGTGGATGGAAAGACTGTTATTTGGGCTAGCAGTTTGCCAGAAGGGACATTGGCCCAGAAGGCAGAACTTATTGTTCTAGTACAAGCTCTAAGACTGGCAGAAGGAAAAATTATTAACATATACACTGATAGCTGGTACGCTTTTGCCACAGCCCATGTACATGGGGCAATTTATAGACAGCATGGACTGCTGACATCTGCTGGTAAAGAAATTAAAAACAAAGAAGAGATTCTCAGCTTATTAGAAGCTATTCATTTGCCCTGCAAGGTGACTATCATACACTGTTTGGGACATCAAAAAGGGACTGGCCCAATAGAAAAAGGAAACCAACTGGCAGATCACATGGCAAAAGAAGCGGCACAGGAACCGATGATCCTATAGCTGGAGAGAGACATAGAACTTGGCAAAATGTTAAAAAGACAGGAGGTGCCCTCTCTGGGAAAGAAACATGGACTTACTTGACTGGCATACATCAGTTTACCCACTTAGGACCCAAGAAAATGATAAAGCTGGCAAACAAATCTCCCTATCATATGCCACGGGTACGACAAATGGCTACAGACATCATAAAAAATTGTAAAGCTTGTGCTTTCACCAATGCTGGCTTCAGCCAAGGCCTAGAAGGGAAATGGCTGAGAGGAGACCAACCTGGGACCTATTGGGAGGTGGATTTCACTGAGGTTAAGCCCGTCTGATATGGAAATAAATATCTGCTAGTTTTTATAGACACCTTTTCAGGATGGGTTGAGGCGTTCCCCACCAAGAAAGAAACAGCCAATGTGGTGGCTAAGAAGATACTGGAGGAAATTCTACCCAGGTTTGGAGTACCAATGGTAATTGGGTCAGACAATGGGCCAGCTTTTGTCTCACAGGTAAGTTGAGGGCTGGCCAGACAACTGGGGTTCGATTGGAAATTACATTGTTCTTATAGACCTCAGAGCTCAGGACAGGTAGAACGAATGAATAGAACCATAAAAGAGACCTTAACAAAATTGACCTTGGAGACCAGCAGGAGTGATTGGACAGCTTTTCTCCCCCTTGCACTGTTCTGGGTATGGAACACCCCAGGACCTTTGGGATTGACCCCCTTCGAGATCATGTTTGGCTCACCTCCCCCAATATATGAGACATTAGAAAGTGGTGCCCACCCTGATGACAGTTCTATCCCACCATCTTCTCTCCTAGCCCACCTCAGAGCTCTAGAAACGGCCAAGAAAGAAATCTGGGAACAACTGAAAGACACCTATGTCCCTGAAGACATGGCTGTTCCCCACAAGTTTGAAGTTGGAGATGCGGTATTGATACAGAGACACCGTACAGGGAACCTCAAGCCATGGAGGAAAGGACCCTACCTGGTACTGTTGACAACCCTTACCGCCGTTAAGGTAGACGGGATTCCCACTTGGGTCCACGCCTCACACGTCAAAAGAGCTCCCCCTGAAGTTAACCAAGATGAGTGGACTCTGGAAAAGACTGATAATCCCCTTAAGCTGCGCCTTCGCAATAGGCATTCCTTGGGTGATGGGAAGTAATCCCCACGCCCTCCAACAACTCACCTGGCAACTTATAGATACAAGAACTGGAACTGTCATAACCAGTGCACAGCAAATTGCCCCCCACCCCCGGCACTTAGTGGCCAACCTTGTACTTCTGTTTCCGACAGATCAACTGTGTAGTTGCAAGTACTCTCCCCAACATGGTACGCAGGTATAGGTTTTATAGCTGTCCTGAGTTTGATAGAGGCAAGTATTGTGATGGCCCCCAACAATTTTTTTGTGGAGATTGGAGTTGTGATACCTCAAATGATGGAGATTGGCAGTGGAGATCACCATCTAACCGAGACAGAGTGACTTTTTCTTTTGCAAATCCAGGACCAAGCAGGCTTGCCCCAGATATGGAACTATACAAAGGGAAGCCATGCTCCCGAAGTGATGTAGATGTCATAAAGGTAGAATTTACTGAAAAGGGTAAGACAACTAGCTTTTCTAAGTGGCATAATGGTATGAGATGGGGCCTAGTCTTTTACAAGCTTGGAAGAGGGGCAGGGTCTGTCCTCCTCATTTGCCTAAAAATAGAAAGCCTCCCTGCCCTGCCAATAGGTCCCAATCAAGTGTTACCCGAACAGAGACCACTCCTACATGGTAGACTGGTAGCTCCTGTACCACCCACAGAAAGTTTTTCCCTCGCCAGCTCCCCTTTCACCACCACAGTTATTCCAGGCACTGAACAAAGACTGTTAAATTTAATTCAGGGGGCTTTTACTGTGATAAACGGCTCATGGCCTGAGATGACCAAATCATGCTGGCTCTGCCTCTCCTCAGGGCCCCCCTATTATGAAGGCCTTGCTACAACAGGGACTTTTAACACTACCACCAGCCATGAGACATGCATGTGGAACAGTGAGAACAGACTCACTCTCCCTGAAGTTTCAGGACAAGTACTTTGCTTGGGAAACCCCCCTACTGCCTATAAACATTTATGTAATAAGATCCTTAAGAGTCCAAAGACTGCTGAAAATAAGTATTTAGTACCAGAAATAGATAAGTGATGGGGTTGTGGGTCTGGATTGTCCCCATGTATTTCTACTGCTGTTTTTGATGATACCAAAGATTACTGCGTGCTTGTTCAACTAGTCCCTCGGGTCTATTACCACCCTGCAGATACTTTTGACCGTGAGCCTAGATACCTTAGATGCTTTCATAGAAAGCCCATTTCTTTAGCCCTAGCTGTCATACTGGCACTTGGAATGGCTGCTGGTGCGGGCACAGGAACTGCTGCATTGATCCAGACCCCACACTATTTTCATGAACTAAAGGCTGCCATGGATGCAGATTTAAGAGCCCAAGAACAGTCAGTGTCCAAACTAGAAGAATCATTAACCTCCCTTTCTGAAGTTGTATTGCAGAATAGAAGAGGCTTAGACTTGCTGCTTGTTAGAGAGGGAGGACTGTGCGCTGCTTTGAAAGAAGAATGCTGTTTTTATGTAGACCATTTGGGAGTAACTAAAGACTCTATGAACAAACTTAGAGAGAGACTAGATCAGAGACAAAAAGACAGAGAAATACAGCAGAGTTGGTTTGAAGGCTGGTTTAATAGATCCCCTTGGCTGACCACATTGATATCCTCCCTTGCAGGTCCTCTTGTAATTCTACTCTTGCTGTTGACTGTAGGACCATGTGTCTTTAATAAAATAGTTGCCTTTATAAAAGATAGGGTCAATGCTGTTCAGATATTGACATTAAGACAGACATATGAGATCTTAGGAAAAGAACCTGAAGATACTGTCCTGTGATTTTAAGATTAAAATCAATTTTAATAAGAGGAGTAGGGAATGTGAGGACAAAAAAATCAAAATACCTCAGAAGAAGCCCCAAGACCACCAACAAATTGCTGAAAACAGCCAAAACAAAAAATAACAAGTTCCTCCTAGGACAGAGTGACCATGAATATAGGAACAAGCAAGGACAGACCTTGACAAGTCTAAACATGCCCAAATGAGAAATGGGCCATCTGGTGTTTTTCTTCCCCTATCAGAAGGTCTGAGATTTCATGGCCAAAAATACGAGTCATCATGACCACCAAGAAAAGCTTGCTATGGCCACCAAAATGATAACTTACACCTATTGCTGATGTTTAAAATATCCAATCATATGTAACCGTGCCAAAGTTTCCCGCTCTCCCCTTCCCCCTGAGCTGCTTCCTATATAAACTTCAAACTGTCAGAGCTCGGGGTCAAAATCCTTCCCTTGCATGGGATGCGTTTTCGACCGGAGGGCCCCCCGCCAGTAAACTACTTTTTCCTATTTTGCATCAAGCCAGTCTCCGTGTTTCCTTGGGTGCGCACAACTCCGGGTGAGAGTGGGGTCTCCCCCTCGGGGGTCCCTTATAGGTACTATGGCTTACTTCTTGTCTTCATTTGCTTGCAAACTTTTTTCCAGCCTTTTACTGTGAGGTAGTATCTATCTTTCTGGCTGAAGTGTGTTTCTTGTATGCAGCAAAATGATGGATCCTGATTTTGCATCCATTCTGTTAGCCTGTCTCTTTTTTTGTTGGAGAATTGAGTCCATTGATGTTGAGAGATATTAATGAAAAGTGATTGTTTTTCCTGTTATTTGAATGTTGGTGGTGTTTCTCTCTCTCTCTCTCTCTCTCTCTCTCTCTCTCTCTCTCTCTCTCTCTCTCTCTCTCTCTCTTACAGAGTGAGTTCCAGGACAGCCAGGGCTACACAGAGAAACCCTGTCTCGAAAAACCAAAAAAAAAAACCAAAAAACAAAACAACCAACCAACCAAACAAACAAACAAAAAACAAAAAACAACAACAAAAAGAAAGTTTCTGTGTGCTTTCCTTGCTTTTGCTGGTATGATATTAATTGAAGTTTTTCTTCTAATATTTTCTGTAGGGCTGGATTTGTGGATAGATATTGTTTGAATTTGCATTAATCTTGTTTTCTCAGGGTTAGGGTTAGGTGATTGAGAGGTTTCCTGGGTACAGTAGTCTAGGTTGACAGTAGTGCCTTTTCTTTTCTTTTGTTAAGGTTTCAGAATATCTGTCAGGCCCTTCTAGTTTTCAGAGTTTCTGTTGAGAAATTTCATGTAATTCTAGTAGAACTGCTGTTTTTTTGTCACCTGGTATTTTTCCCTTACCACTTTTAATATTCTTTCTTTGTTCTATAGATTTTATATTTTGATTATTATGTGCTGGGAGGATTTTCTTTCCTGGTCCATGTTTTGATCTATAAGGTTCTTTTATGTTTATAGGCATCTTTTTCTTTAGGTTTGGAAATTTTTATTCTATGATTTTGTTGAGAATATTTTCTGGGCCTTGGAGCTGGTATTCTTCCCCTTCTTCTATTCCTATTATTTATATGTTTTCACTGTATGCCAGATTTCCTGGATGTTTGTGTCAGGAATTTTTTTAGCTTTAACATTTACTTTGGATGATATAACAATTTCTTTTATTGTGATTTCTATGCCTGAGGTTCTGTCTTCCATCTCCTCTATTCTGTTTGAGATTCTTGAATCTGTTTTTCTTTCTTCTTCTTCTTTTTAATTGGATATTTTATTTACATTTCAGATGTCATCCCATTACCCCATTCCCCTTGCCCAGGAACCCCCTATCCAATTGCCCCATCTCCTGCTTCTGTGCAGATGTGCCCCTAACTACTCCCCGACTCCCACCTTCCCACCCTTGAATGGGACAAGGATCTCCTCTCCCACCTATGCCTGACAGGGCCAGCTTCCCTTACATATACTAGATATGTATATGTATACATGGATGCCTCCCTAAGTGCTCCTAGGCTGGTGGTTTAGACCCTAGGAGCTCTGGTTGGTTGGTATTGTTGCTCTCCTCATGGGGCTGCAAACCCTTAAAGCTCCTTCACTCTTCACTCAAACTCTTCCACTGGGAACCCCTTGATCAGTTTAATGGTGAGCTGTGAGCATCCACCTGTGAATATGTCAAACTATGGCAGACCACTAAGCAAACAGCTCTATCAGGCTCCTGTCAGCATGCACTTCCTGATATCCACATCAGCATCTACCTTTGGTGACTGCATATGGGATGGATACCCAGGTGGAATAGTCTCCAGATGACCCCTCCTTCAGTTTCTGTCCAAAACTCTGTATCCATATTTGTTCCTTTGAGTATTTTGTTGCTCCTTCTAAGAAGGAGCAAAGCACCCCCACTTGGTCTTCTTTCTTCATGAGCTTCATGTGGTCTGTGAGTTGACTCTTGGGTTTCAAGCTTCTGAACTAAATATCCAATAATCAGTGAGTGAATACCATGTGTGTTATTTTGTGATTGAGTTGCCTCACTCAGAGTGATATTTTCTTGTTCCATCCATTTACTTAAGAATTTCTCGAATTCATTGTTTTTAGTAGCTGAGTAATACTCCATTGTGTCATTGTACCACATCTTTCATATCCATTCTTCTGCTGAAGAACATCTGAGCTCTTTCCATCTTCTGGATATTATAAATAAAGCTGCTATGAACATAGTGGAGCATATGTCCTTGTTATATGTTCGAGCATCTTCTGGGTATATGCCTAGGAGTGGTATAGCTGGATCCTCAGGTAATGCTATGTTCAATTTTCTGAGGAATCACCACAATGATTTCCAAAGTGGTTGCACCATCTTGCAGTCCCACCAACAATGGAGGTGTGTTCCTCTTTCTCCACACTCTCCCAGCATCTACTATCATCTGAGTTTTTAATCTTAGCCATTGTGACTGGTGTGAGATGGATTCTCAGGGTTGTTTTGATTTGCATTTCCCTGACGACTAAGGATACTGAACATTTCTTTAGGTGCTTCTTGGCCATTCGAGTTTCCTCCATTGAAAACTCTTTGTTAAGCTCTATACCCCATTTTTTAATAGGGTTATTTGGTTGTCTGGAGTCTAATTTCTTGAGTTTTTTTGTATATATTGGATATTAGCCCTCTATCAGATATAAGATTGGTAAAGATCTTTTCCCATTCTGTTGGTTGTCGTTTTGTCCTATTGACAGTGTCCTTTGTCTTACAGAA